TTATGAGTGAGTGGTTGCAGTACAGGCATTTAACCACTGCGCCACCAGGGCTCCTTTCATGCCCCTAGTCCCTCCCCGCATATTTTTGCAAAAAGGAGAAAGCTGTGTGCCTCTGGAAGGGAGGAATGATTATTTTACAAATCTCCTGCGATCCCCCCAACCTCTTGGATCCCCCTTTTTCAGGAGGGCTGATGCAGCCCTTGGAGTGTCTTGGAAAGTGAGAACTGGGCCCCTGACCCTCCATGGTTGCACAGTCCTGCTTTAAGAGAGCTCCTTCACAACCTGGGGATCTAGGATGTATCTACTCCGAAGCAAAACCTACTTCAAGGTAGAGGTTGCATCTACATGGTAAAAATAATACAGTTTGGCACCACTTTAAGTGTTGTAGGTCCATCCTGTGGAATCCTGGATTTGTAGTTTTACAAGGTCTTCAGCCTTTTCTGCCAAAGAGTGCTGGTGCCTCACAAAACTACAAATCTCTGGATTCTGTAGGATGAACTCATGACAGTTAAAGTGGTGTCAAACTGCTTTCTTTCTATAGTGTAGTAGATGCACCCTGGGTAATGGGACTGTAGTTTTAAGCAGGATCAAATCCAGTGGAACTCAATAAAACCTGCTTCAGAGTAGATATGTGTAAGGTTGCACTGAAAAATGTCCAGCCATCACCTCAAAAAATGCAGTCAGAAAGGACAGAACCTCTATATCAGTATTTTCTTGAAAGGAAACCTAGATTTAATGTTCTCTTGTGAGGGATGTGACCTCACAAAGGACGGAGACATCTGGGATCTCAGAAGAAGTACCTTTTGGAATTGCTAATAGAATTCAAATTTTATCTCCTGGACTTTGGAATGCTTTTTTCCCAGGTCCATGTGGCCGGAAGGAGGGAATGGGCTTGCATAGATATCCCCTCCAAAGAAGAACACACCACCAGCACCTTGAGAAATTGCAAACCTATGACTAAAGTCTTAATTTTACATTTTTCTCTCCCATATGATTCTTAACACCTAGTGCAGTGATGGCAAATCTTTTAGAGACCAAGTGCCCAAACTCAAAGTGGTGTTCCTGCACCAGGAGTCACCCAGTGCTGGGGGTGGGTAGGTGGGACTTCTGTGGGGCATGGGGCTTCTTGGGGGGCAGACTTTCCAGGAGCGGAACTTCTCCCAGCTTTCCAGGGGTGAGAAGGCTGGAGAAACAGGACCCTCCTTTCCTTCACCCCTCCCACCCTGGAAAGGCTTTTCCCCAACATTTCCAGGATGGGAGGGATGGAGAAATGGAGAACTCCTTCTCCCTCGCTCCTCCTGCCCTCTGCCACGACAGGGGCGATGGTGCATGCGCCCTCAGAGAGGGCTCTGTGTGCCCTCTCTGGCACGCGTGCCACAGGTTCACCACCACAGACCTAGTGTTTGAAAGCTTGCATCATGTATTTTGTGCATTTCGGTTGGGCCAATAAAGGTATTACTGTTTTGTGGGTGTTTTTTGGATGTTATTGTATATAGTTTAGTGTGCGCCATTCAGAAGTTGTAAATGCATATGGGTGGGTTGGTTTACTTGCTTGCTTACTTGCTTGATTTAATTAGATGTTTTTGAGCAACTAGTAAAGCAAAAGGGATTCATCTTTGGAAGGATCCTCGGAGGAAGGATCTCAAAGGAAGTAATAGTACTACTATTCTGCTTTGGTCAGGCCTGGAAACCCTATGAGGAGCAACTTAGGTACCTGGAGAAGTGAAAGTTAAGAGGTGCCATGACAGCCCTATTTAAAGATTTAAAGGGGCATCATATTGAGGATGGAGGACACCTGTTTTCTGCTGGTCCAGAGACTAAGGCATGGAGCAATGGATGCAAACTCCAGGAAAAGAGATTCCACATCAATATTAGGAGGAACTTTCTGACAGTAAGAGCTGTTCAACAGTGGAACACACTCCCTTGGAGAGTGATGGAATCTCCTTCTTTGGAGGTTTTTAAACAGAGGCTGGATGGCCATCTGTCGGGGATGCTTTGATTCTGTCTTCCTGCATGACAGGGGTTGGATTGGATGGCCTTTGAGGTCTCTTCCAACTCTATGATTCTATGACTCAAATCTATATGGGATCCTTGAAGTTTTGAACTGGATGTAGAGCACAGGCAAAACTATTGGCATGACTTTCTGGCTGCAAATTCCATGTGTCAGACGTCCTCCTCTCCCTCTCTCTGCTTTTAATCCTTCTGTGTTTACATTCTTGGTAGGAGAACGAGCAGCACTTGAGAGACAAATTGACAAGCCTTCTCCGTCTGCTGCCAACAGCCACAGCCTGACAGCTGCCTTCAAAGCCTGCACTTGTAAAACCAAAGCTGTTCCGTTGAATGAACATGGCCCACCAAGGAATGGATCACTGGAGCTGAACGACAGAGCCAAGGCGGAGGGAACATCAGGTGGGAAGCCCGCTCAAGCTTGCACAGCTCTGGGGAGGAACATAAAAGAACAAGAGCATGGAGGCTATGGGACTCCTGGGAGACAATGTTCCTGTCGTTTGCAAGAAAGAGGTGTGGATGCAACAGAGGAACATGCGCCTGCCTCCTAAGAGCTTGTTTGTCTGTCCAGTTACACCACTGGGAAGCTTGCCAACCTGGCAAACGCTGCTCAGAGCCTTTCGGGCACAACTGAAGAAAACACCAACACCCAGGAACATGAGAACAAGAGAAAACAATGGGGATTTTTTTCAGGCCTTTGGGTATATATAACCCTGTCATAATACTCTCTAATGGGGAAACTGCAGGAAAATAGGAAATTGTGCAGACAGAGGTGAAGATAAAACAGAATGCTCTATCACATTCATCACCATCTCCATTTTTTAAATATTTTATTAGAATTCATATCCTCCTCAAATTACAAGTCTATATAGGTAAACAGACAAGATGGTTCAGAGTAACTAAATGAAGCACAAAATACAAAGTTGGTACTAGACATTACCTGTCAAATCAAGATGTGATTATTAAAGCTTTTCTTTCTCATACATCTTACGGATGTTGCATCTCCTAGTTCTGAATATTGGTTGTGGAGTTTCTAATAATGTCTCCATCAAGTGTTCGAGTATATAACATCTTATCAAAGAGCTTGGTGGTATTCTGGTGGTTGTCTCAAGTACCTTTATGCATTTACAAAATCAAAAAAATGGATACCATTTCTCAATAAAGAAATCTTGGTTTGCATCTCTTGTTGTTCTTATATTGTCCAATAGTTTCTCAATCAACCAAGTGTCCCATATGTGTTTCCACCAGTCACCATCCCCATTTACACGGCATGGAGAGCAGAAACCTTCCATGACTTAGTGCCCTGCAGATGGGCCGGACTATAGCTCCCATCATCCTCAGACAGTGAGGCCTGTGAGTGTGCTAGCTGGAGATGATGGAAATTGTAGTCTGGCATATCACAGGTTGGGGATGGTTCCTTTGTCCAATCACTCCAAGGACTTAATTTTTCTACATGAGAAGGAAGGGAAGACTTGGCAGGTGGGAAAATATATCCAAGAAAATGGAAAGGAAAACAACTCTGCCAGCGAGACCTACAGTGTTATAAACCAAACTTTTATATTTCTATGAAAGGATACCCTGAAATCATTTAAAAAAAATACCGATACAAACAAGGAGCTTTATACAGTCATCCCTCTGTTCTCACGGACTTGAGATCTGAGGTTTTGAATATTCACGGAGGGGCGACCTCCATTAAAATCAATGGGGTGTGCCTCATTCAAGCCTATGGGGCTTGAATGTTGGTGAGTCTCTGTTTTCATGGGGTGGTGGTGGTCTGGAACAGATCTCCTGTGAAAACAGAGAGCCAAATGTACTTACTTGATTTACTTGCAATTTTGTGTGTCAATTTTTGCAATGGCCCTTGTATTAGTAGGAAATCTCCTGTCCTTGTCACTGTTCTATTTTTACTTGGCATGAGCGTTCCCCCCCCCCCTTACCATTACCTGTTATATTAAAAATAGCAGCTTGCTTAAGACCACATAGCAAGTTGGCAGCTGAAGTGAAATGTGAATTACTTCCATACTAGAATCCTTTAGTGCTTGCAGAAATATTGCTTTTCCATAGTTATGTGGAAGTGTAATGAAAACAGTGGTTCCATGTGGCAATTGTAGTTCTCCTGCAATTCTCCCCATAGTCAACAGCTTTCTGTTTTGGGATCACAACTAAGTCCCATTGATCAAAGATCCCCTGCACTGACTATTCTGCCCTATTTATTCCTCTCTGCTCAGCATAACTAGGAGACTGTTGATTAATTTCCATTTCATTAAGCAGTGCTTAATTTTGCAGGTGTTGGACATCATTACTGATGTCCTTCCCTTTTAGATATAAATGTAAGATTAACACAGAATCTCCCTGCATCTCCCAGAACTGCATCATTGCAACCCTTCCCCACAAGACCTGTTCAGAGACAGATGGGTTCAACATAAGTCAGAGGCTACTTGTGTTCTGTCTTCCCATTTAAAACCAGTTACAAGAAGCAGCACCATTCTCACATGTGGGGTTGCTTCAGTTCAGAAGATCCAAGCTAATGAAACATAAAAACTTTATTCAGAAATCAAAGATTGATCACAGCAGATGTATCTTGTCAGGACTGAGAGATCGATGGTAGCACAGTATAATTAAAGCACATAGCAGTTCAAACTTAAGCAGTCTTGCAGTTACAAAATTCACCCATAAAGCTAAACACTCTGGCCTTCTCTCTTTCCCAGGGTCTCCCCTCCTTCCAAATCCATATCAGCTGTTCTCATGGGATTGGCCTTGAAAGTTTCAGCACAATCTCTACTAGTCTTGCATCTGCTTGTTAACCAGCAAATGTAGGCAGCTTGTTGTTGTTGTTGTTGTGTGCCTCCAAGTCATTTTTGACTAATGCAACCCTAAGGTGACCCTATAATAGGGGTTTATTGGAAGGTTTCATCAGAGAGGGGGGTGTTGCCATTGCCATCCTCTGAGGCTGAGAGAGTGTGATTTCCTCAAGGTCACCCAGTGGGTTTTTATGCTCAAGCAGGGGATTTGAACCCCGGTCTCCAGATTCTTAGTCCAACGCTCAAACCACTACACCACGCTGGCTCTCTGTAAGCAGCTCACCTTATCATTAACTTGTAACAACATATCCCATCATCCCATATTTCAATTAACACAATATTAAAATACTACAAGCCAGCGAAGCAGGTTTCTATTAACTAAGGCAGGCAAGTTGAGGGACTCAGATGTAATAAAAAATAGATAGTAATGCACTAGGTGCCTTGAACTAAGGAGGATTTTTTGTATGAGGTGGACCCGATAGATTTAAAAGTGAACCAAAATAGGTAGGCCCAAATACATTATTTTCAGAATTTTGCAATTCAATTTGCAGTTCCGATAATGCACCCAAAAGTGTCTGTATTAGGGGAGTATATGCACAAAACACATTCGGAAAAATGGGAAAAGTAAGCATTCTACCAAACGAATGCAAAAATGTGTATATAGAGAGAGGCCCATGGAAATGGATTATTTTTATTTGTTTGTTTTTACAATTCTTGCTACATTCATAAAGAGATTTGAACCCAGGCTGAAACAAATTTGCAGTCAAATGAGAAAATTTAACAAGACAACAGTCTAAACCTGCCCATTCATATGTTGAACTGGGAGCACTGGTGCTTCAGGGCCCAAATTATAAACTACATGAAAAATGAGAATTTAATTTCCAAGAGCCAGCATGGAGTAGTGGTTTGAGCATTGGAGCAAGACTCTGGAGACCAGGGTTCAAATTCCAGCTCAGCCATGGAAACCCATCACACTCTCCAAGCCTCACAGGCAGGTGAAACTTGCTAAGAAAACCCCATGATAGGTTCACCATAAGTCAGAAATGACTTGGGTTTCTACTGTTATTGGTTCCTACTGTCTTTGGATTTCTATGGCCCTACTTTATAAATGAACACAAACACAATTGCCTTTTAAAAGGCTTTACCAATTTAAATCAGACACAAACCAAGAACGATATATAACATATTCCATCATTCCAACGCAATATATTCCACCATAAAGGCTGAATCTCCCGGAATCCCAAAATCTGAAATATCCCAAAAGCCAAAACTTTTTTCACGGGTGGCTGATATAGCGAGATGGTTCACTGTACAGGAAAGGTCAAGATATGCAGATACTTATTGATGTAAAAAACTTTAATGCCCCAAATAAATAAAGATGCAATATAACATACAGCTGCATAAGGCCACTATGAAGAATTTACCCTTCCATTCCCTTCTTCAACCATAAGTGAAAATCCTGTTATCAAACTTAAGGTGACAAGCATCCAATTCTTTCTCTGTGGCAACCACGGATGCATCCACACTGCAGAGATAATCCAGTTTGTTGTGGTCCGCTCTGGGGCCACAACAAACTACACTTCCCAGAATTCCACAGCATTGAGCCAGGACAATTAAAGCGGTGTCAAACCGGATTATTTCTGCAGTGTGGATGCAGCCCACAGCTCCTTTCCTCTCCATTTTCTCTCTGAATTGCAACTTGTAACATACCACTCTTTCCTCAAGGTTTCACCCCCAACTGAGTCAAATCAATAATCCAGAGGGGTTACAACTGCATGTTGCAAAAAGCACACCATTGTGGTGGGGATTCTTGAAAATGACAGGTAATTTCATGAGAGGAACACAGATTTCTTTTCATACAATGCCTTTCAAGCCACTGGGTGGAGCTGCAGGTGCACAGCGTCTCCCGTCAGGTGCTGCAAACAAATGTTTTCGAGGCCTATAGAAATTGTTTGCTAAAAATGCCAATTTAAATGATAGCATTTTGCAAATGGGAGAAAGGCTAAAAAGTCTCCTTCATTGGAGTTTTTAATTTTGTATGCATGCATGCAGGCGTATATTTAGTGGATTTGTACCTTTTGTGTACTGGCTTTGTAAATTTTGTTTGCTGCATGCCCGTCAACATGCCCTCTCTGAGTGACAATGTTGAATATGGAAGTTTTGCATGTGCAACCTGGTTCCCAGAGGTGATAAGGCTGTGATATGATGAACTGGCAGTGAAACTGGACAGAGAAGAAAGCTAATAGGAAGAGAATCAACTTATTTGAGATGTGGTGCTGGAAAAAATACTGTGGATTGCTAAAATGGCAAACAAATGGGTCCAAAAGCAAATCAAACCTGAAATCTCCGTAGAAGCAAAGTGATTAAACTGAGACTGTTGTACTTTGGCTGTGTCATGAGAAGAAATGACTTCCTAGAAAAGACCATAATTATGAAGTCGTAGGCTTTCATGGCCAGCATCCATAGTTTTTTGTGGGTTTTTCGGGCTGTGTGGCCATGTTCGAGAGGAGTTTCTTTCTGACATTTCACCCGCATCTGTGGCTAGCATCTTCAGAGAAAATGCAAAGACCATAATTCTTGGTAAGGTGGAAGGCAGTAGGAAAAAAAGGAAGACTGCATTCCAGATTTGTTGTTGCTGTTGTGTGCCTTCAAGTCATTTCCCACTTATGGCAACCCTAAGGCAAACCTATCATGGGGTTGTCTTGGCAAGATTTGTTCAGAGGAGGTTGCCATTGCCCTCCCATGAGGATGAGAGCATGTGTCTTGCCCAAAATCACCCAGTGGGTTTCATGGCCAAGCTGGAAATCAAACCTTGGTCTCGTCCAACATTCAAACCACTACACCACAACTCAATCAAAGAAACCACAGCCCTGAGTTTGCAAGACCTGAGCAGGGCTATTGAGGACAGGGTGACTTGGAGGTTTCTCATTCATAGGGTCCCTATAAGTCAAAGTCAACTTGAAGCCAGCTAACAGCAACAGCGTACTGCTAGAAGAGGGTGCCTAGGGCAAATCACCTGTTTAGGAAAGCAGCTGACGCTCCGGTTTATACAAATGACCATGAGGGCAAGGCAAATGCAGTTATTCTTTCCCATGCAAATTTCCCTCTTTCCCTGGCTGAATCATTTTCGAAATGCAAGGTGCAACAAAATCCTAGGGCCAATAAAACAGAGATACCTGTTTGGGGGGCAAGTGAAAAGCATAAACTACATCATGTCAGGCTCCACTGGCTTCTTTATCAGGCAAAAGATGTTTAAAAATCATAGAGGAGACGCAAAGTGACATTTTTGAGTCATAGGCCTACATTTTGTTTCTGATGTTGTTCTTCTTGTAGTTAAGTTGGTCTGGAGGGAGTTCAATGTAGGCTGAAGGGACTCTCCTTCTTGGCCAGGTGAGGACTTCTTTTGCCGGATGAAAAAGCCGGTGGAGCTTCAAAACCTTGCATGATGTATTTTGTACTTTTTAGTGGGCGACAAAAATGTATAGCCATTCTGAGTGTTTTGGAATTTGTTGTATTCTGCTGCGTGGCCAATACAGCTACCCCTGAATATGTTATCAATAGAAGGAGCCATGGCAGTTAAAGTGGTACCAAACTGGATTATTTTATTTATTTATTTTGCAGTGTGGATGCATCTCTAGAGAAAACTGCTAAGATTTACCTATTGTAATGCTTATTGCTTATTAGTGCAGCAGTTTTACATTGTTTTAGTTGGTGTTTTAATAATACAATTACTTTGACTGCATTTTTTAAATATATATATATATATATATATATATATATATATATAATTAATAGTTTTTTGATGCAACCTTCTGAATTACAGTGAGCCCTTGGTATTTGCTGGGGTTTGGTACCAGGACTCCCTGTAGATATCAAAATCCATGGATGCTCAAGTCTCATTACATGCAGTGCCAAACTAAAATGGCATCCCCCATATAAAATGGCAAAACCAAGGTTTGATTTTTGGAGTTGATATATTTTTGGAATATTTCCAAGCCAAGGGTAGTTGAATCTGTGGCTAAAGAATCTGTGGATACGGAGGGCTGATTATAATAGGATTTAGGGGAGGATTCTTATTTATAGCGTCTCCAACTGGCACTTAACAACAACAGTGAGCTTGGTGTCATAAGACACCTTTTAAAATCTACTTTTCTTCGGACTTATTCTCCCTAAAATGACAAAATTATGTGCAAGCATTTGAATTGTGTGCAAGTTGTGGCTTCCCCCCAATAAGAATTCTGCTCCACAAATAAAATTTTCCTCCAATCTCCAAATTTCTAGCAATGTGGAGAATGAG